CCCAGTCTTTTCGGCTGAGGATATGCGGCGGGAGTGGGAGCCGTGGTGGGTGCCTGACTCTGGAGGCGCCCCCCTGGACTGGGTCGTCGTCGCTCGCGAGCGGGGGGTCCCCGAAATCCCCGCCAACCCCGCCTGGCGACCCCCCTCGTTCGCGGCCTTCCAGCGGGCCCTCCGGGACACTCACGGGGCGGCTGGGCTCGACGGGTGGGAGGCTTCTGAGCTGCAGGGCCTTTCGGACCACTTCCCTGGCCTCCTCCACGAGCTCTGGGCCATCCTCGTCGCCACGTTGGAGGGGGGCGCCAGCCCATGGCCTGATGAGCGCACGCGGGCTTTCGGGGCTTTGCGGGTGGTCGGCATCCCTAAGCGGGGGTCCGACGACGCCCGGCCGATCGCGATCGGGCCGGTCTGGATGCGAGCTTGGGGCCGTTGCCTCCTCGACGTGCTTCCCGCGCCCCCTGCCGAGGCGTTCGGGGAGAGGGGCGCCGTGGCCTCCGTGGCTGACTGGGCCGCCGCGCCCGGCGACGCGGGAACCGAAGTCGACCTGAGCCGGGCCTACGACTCGGTGGACCACGGCGTCGCAGGCGCCGCCCTCAGGCACCAAGGTGCACCTGCTCCGGTCGTGGCTACCATGGAGGCTGTCTGGCGGGCCCCCCGATATTGCTCGGTGGCCGGGGACACTGCTGCTGCTTTACACCCTACTCGGGGCCTGCCGCCCGGCGACCCTTCTTCGGGCCGTATCCTCAGTCTGGTGCTTTGCCCCTGGCACGCCGCGATCCGTTCGGTGCCCAGGACGCGCGCATGGTCCTACATGGACGACCGTTCCATTAAGGCCGCCGCGGCGGTGGATCGGGACCGTGCCTTAGCGATCACTGCGGAGATCGACCGGCGGCTTGGCTTTTCGGAGAACATTAGGAAGCGGCAGGTTTGGTCGGGCACCCAGAGCGCCGAACATTTGGGAGTGCGGGCCGCTTTCGGTGACGCCGCGACCTGGCCCCAGCTGCCTGAGCCTCGGGGCGGGTGGGACCAGATCCGCTCCCAGGTGCGCCGGCTCCGCGCGGTGCCCGGCGGGCAGCGGACCAGGGAGCTCGCGGCCCTGATGCGCATCGCTCCTCAACACCGGTGGTCGGCTCCGTTCTGCGCGATCCCGCCATGTGATCTGATCGCGCTCACGTTTCGGTCTGTTGTCCGGACTCGCTGCACCTGGCGGTGCGCTCGGCGTTGGTACGCCGAGCGGGTTTCTTTGCACCCTGTCTTGGGTACGGCGTGCGCTGTGCTGAAGGCGGCTCGGGGGGTTCCCGCGTCGCGGTTGTTGTCGGTGGCGCTCTCGGAGCATTATGGCGTGTTCGGGCTGCTCCCGGTCGCCGCCGGGTCGCTCCCCGAAGGCGTCTGGCTGCTTCCGGCCCCGGGGCTCGACCCCCGGGCCGCGGCGGCGGTCGCCGCTGCAGCCGCCGCTGACAGCCGCGAAGCGAGAACCCGGCACCCTGGGACCCCTCGCCCCCCCCGCAGGGCTTTCGACGCCTCGTCCGATCGCGGTCAGCACGCTCTCCGGGAGTGCGCCCGGGCGGCGCTCCTTCGCCCCAAGGCGGCGCCTGGGCCCCCGCCGCGGCACGACGAAGAGGGGATTGGGGAGATCGATCTGGCTGTTCAGAGCGCGCCGCCGTGGGCCCAGTTCCGGCGATCGCTGGGCCGATACGAGACGAACCTCCTCGCCGTTTGGAGGGGCGGGGCCGTGTGCACGCCGACGCGCAGGCACGGCGGCGCGTGCGTTTGCCCGTTCGGTTGCGGGCACGCCCAGGCGTCGGCTCGGCACTTCTGGGCCGAGTGCCCGCGTTTTGCTGGACGTCGGCTCGAACTCGGGGAGAATCTGCGGGTCGCGCCGGCTTGGTGGGGGGCCCAGCCCCGCGTCACGGCGAAAACGGGGTGGATCACTAAGGCTGCCGGGGGCTCGATTCAGCGTCGGGCTCAGCTGCATGTGATGGCGTGCCGCCTCGGCGTCGCCATCATGCAGGCGCTCGCCGGCCTCGGCGGGTGGGCCTTCGGGGACGCGGTCTCCCCGCCCGGGGCCCACCTGGGTCCTCCCTCCCTTCCCTCCCCTTTCCCTCCGGCGGGCGGCGCCGGCGGGCGGCGGGACGGACGACGACGACGCTGACGACCTCCCTCCCCCTCCTGGTGGTGGTGGTGGTCCCCCGGGTGCTGACAGCCGTCCCAATTAGCTCCGCTTCAGTCCTGTGGTCCACTGGCCCTTTTCCCAAGGTTTGAACAGCGCTGCGCGTTGTTTTAAACAGCAGCTAGGGCAAAGGCACCCTGCTGCTTTCAATTCTCAGGAGGAGGAGAAGGAGGAGGAGGAGGAGGAGGAGCAGGAGGAGGAGGAGGAGGAGGAGAAGAAGGAGGAGGAGGAGGGGGAGGAGGAGGAGGAGGAGGAGGAGGAGGAGGAGGAGGAGGAAGAGAGGAAGAGAGGAAGAGAGGAAGAGAGGAAGAGAGGAAGAGAGGAAGAGAGGAAGAGAGGAAGAGAGGAAGAGAGGAAGAGAGGAGGAGGAGGAGGAGGAAGAGGAGGAGGAGAAGGAGCAGGAGGAGGAGGAGCAGCAGGAGCAGGAAGAGGCCGGCAGGCCCTCCCCCGGCACGCGCGCCCGCGGCGCTCGATCGGGCGTCTCGCACCACACGGGGCGGGGGTCCATGCAAACGGGGGGTCAGCCAGAGCGCCGGGTCTTGCAGGATATCCGGCAGTGCCAGAGGCGCACTGGCCCGGGTTCGGGTGCAGGATCTTGCCGGGTGCTGCAGGATCTTGCAGGAGATGTCGCAGGAACCTGCAAAGCCCGACTGACCCGGGCTTGGATTGACCCGGGTCAGTAGGTCCCGGGGCATCGAGGGCTGCAAGCGAAGCGCCCTGATGATCTGAAGTGGCTCCCCGGAAGCCCCGAGGGTGCACGACAGGACGGAATATCATGACGTTCGCTGGCGTTTCGCCCTCTTCCGGTTCGTCATCTTTCGGTTCGGCCTCTCTCGGTTCGTCCTTTTACGTGTTGTCTTCGCTCGAAGCGACTCGGGCGACATGCCTTCCGAGCGAAAGGAAGCGGACGATGCGAATTCCGACGAAATGAATCGGAATCGCAAGAAAGTCGGACGGGGCTGGGACGAGAACAAATCCGTTCCAGCGCGTCCCGGAACGCCTTGAGAGCGTTCCGGAACGCCTTGAGAAGGTCGCGGCGCCCGATATTTCCTCCAGAGCCGCCCGATCTCAGAGATTCCCGATATATCTTCATCCGACTTTATCTGTTTCCTGGCTTCGTCTTAGAGAGTCACCCCGTTCGAAGCGACGCGAGCGACATGCCATCCCGACAAAATGAAGCGGACGACGTGGAGTCCGACGAAATGCAGCGGAATCGACAGAAAGGCTCCTGGACGCCCGAAGTATCCGAGATCACTGCGAACCGGGTAACTCCGGCTTGGGCCCCCGCAGGGCGCGAGTCTGTGGCTACCCCTGACTGCCCCCAGCCCCGATGACTCGGGCAGGGAGCATTTCGATTCCTCCGATTCGATCCGATCCGATTTCCATCGCTGCCGATTCCGATTCGATTCGACTTGGGATTCCGATTCGGGCTCCGATTCCTCCTTGCAGGCATACTTTCCTGCCGATCTCCGCCGATTCGACTCTTCCCGACTCGGCTGCCGATTTCCGCCGATCCGATTGAGCTCCATCGCCGATCCGAATTATCGATTCGATGTCGGGCTTTCCTGCTCGGGGCCCTGACGTTCTCCCCCCCCCTCCTCCTCCTCCCCCCTCCTCCCCCCCCTCCCCTCCTCCTCCTCCTCCTCCTCCTCCTCCTCCTCCTCCTCCTCCTCCTCCTCCTCCTCCTCCTCTCCTCCTCCTCCTCCTCCTCCTCCTCCTCCTCCTCCTCCTCCTCCTCCCTCCCTCCTCCTCCCCCTCCTCCTCCTCCTCCTCCTCCTCCTCCTCCCTCCTCCTCCTCCTCCTCCTCCCTCCTCCTTCCTCCTCCTCCTCCTCCTCCTCCTCTCTCCTCCTCCTCCTCCTCCTCCTCCTCCTCCTCCTCATCCCCTCCTCCTCCCCCCCCTCCTCCTCCTCTCTCCTCCTCCTCCTCCTCCTCCTCCTCCTCCTCCTCCTCCTCCTCCTCCTCCTCCTCCTCCCCCGAGGGCCTCCTCTGCCACCACAGGAGAGCTGCTCGGGTTGGGTTCGCCGCAGAGCCGGCGCCGTAGCGTCGCCGCAGAGCCGGCGCCGTCCTGAGGAAATGGAGCCGACCAGATGAAGTCTTAGGTCGGGATTGTCCCTCTACAGGAGGACGATCCAAAGATAGTCCACACAAACAGCATGGGGACGGTAGTTCTATGATGCTTCACTCGTTTTGCATATGTCGGGTATTGCTCCATTTTCGCCCAAGATCCGCCTGCAGGAAGACATGCCCGCCCTAAGTGAAGCCCGACGAAATGCGACGGAAGCGAAAGAAAGGCACCCCGTTCTTCGGTGGCAAATCATGGGGGCCTGGTACACCCTCCGAACATTCCGTCTTTAGCGTCGACTAGCGCCGATTAGCGTCTGGAGTCGATGAGACAGCGCCGACGTAGCGTCGATTCAGCGTCGATTGACGTCAATTTAGCGTCGATCAGCGTCGATTCGCAAGAGCCGACAAGATGGCATGTGAGGCCCCCACGAGTTGCCACCGAACCGTTCTCCACCCCCAACCGAGGTGCGAAACATTGTATACACTTCTCGATTTGGGCGTGCCGTCCTTGCGCAGGGGCCAGGCGAGTCTTCTCTGCATCACTCCAATGTTAGCGGATGATCCCCGGAGGCAATCCGAAACGCACGCGTTGGGGGGAGTCCGGCCTCCCCGCTGCGCAAATCGCGCCCCCCGCGGCGCAAATCGCGCCCAGGCCGCGGCGGCCTCCCGGCACTGCTCGCAGAGGGCCCCGGCGGGCGGCGGCCCCTCTGCGGGCGGCTACCGCGGTGGCCACCGAGGCGGGCGGGCAGCCGCTTGAAAGTGCCCCGACGGGCGCGCGGGCGGTGCTCCTGAGGCTCGGCGAGGCGGGGGAAAAACGGTCCTCCTCCTCCTCCTCCTCCTCCTCCTCCTCGCTCCGCCTCCTCGCTCCGCCTCCTTGCTCCTCCTCCTCCTCCTCCTCCTCCTCCTCCTCCTCCTCCTCCTCTCCTCCTCCTCCTCCTCCCCTCCTCCCCCTCCTCCTCCTCCTCCTCCTCCCTCCTCCTCCACCTCCTCCTCCTTCGCCTCCTCATCCTCCTCCTCATCCTCCTCCTCCTCCACTCCTCCCTCCCTCCTCCTCCTCCTCCTCCTCCTCCTCCTCCTCCTCCCCTCCTCCTCCTCTCCTCCTCCCTCCTCCTCCTCCTCTCTCCTCCTCCTCCTCCTCCTCCTCCTCCTCCTCCTCCTCCTCCTCCCCTCCTCCTCCTCCTCCTCCCCTCCTCCTCCTCCTCCTCCTCCTCCTCCTCCTCCTCCTCCTCCTCCTCCTCCTCCTCCTCCTCCTCCTCCTCCTCCTCCTCCTCCTCCTCCTCCTCCTTCGCCTCCTCCGCCAGCACAAACTGGCACCGGCGGGGAGTCGGAATAGCCTTTGGTGCAGGCTTACAGGGGTCCCCCTCAGCACCAGCCTGCGCGATTGGATTTGGCCTGCCCGCGGCCCCCTGAAGCCGCGCACCAAAGGTCACTCTTGCCTGTGAGGGTCATGCTTGCGTATAGGCGAAGGAGGTCTACGGTGCCCCCGCGAGCTGGCGGCGGGGGGGGTCTCCGCGCAGGACGCCAGAAGCGCCCTGGGGGGGGGGCTCTGACCCAGAGAGATGCCAACGCAAAGCCATGCAGTTCAACGCATCACAAAGCAAAGCACCGCAGAAAAAAAAAAACGAGGGAGGACATCCCCTCCCTCGGGCCCTCGGGAACCCAGCGGAGGGCCCACGATCGCCAGCGGCCCAGTTGCAGACAAGGACTCCGAAGCCCACTGGCAAAGCCTACTTGAAAACAAGGGCTGTATTAGTTGACCGTGTCAGATTGAAGCGTAGAGGGTGTCTCCACTAGGGGCATGTGGAGCCGCTCTTCGGGATTCTCTTGCCCGCCTTCGGGCTACACTGCGGCCTCCGAAGCCCAAGCTTGTTCAGTCATCTTAGCCTATCGCGCGGAATCTTTGGCGGGGAGGGCCCCCTCCCCACTTCAAGCCATCTTTGGGGCCGTCTGGGGCGTATTGTGGACATGTGAAAGGCCATCTTGGGCCAATGGGGCTGTCTGGCCCACTCTTAGAGTCTTAGAGGCCATCTCTGGCTACCTGGAACCATCTGGGAGCCATGCACTCAATCTTGGAATCACTACCTCCTCGCGGTCCCCATTGGTCCAGTCTCCTGTGCAGGCGGTCGGGGCGGGTCAAGACCTGCGATCCACAAAAGATGTTCGAAGGGCTTGGCTCGGAAGCGCTGATCTGCCAAACAGCACCCGCCCAGAGGGCAAGCTGGAAGTCCTCCCCCCCCCATGTCGTGGCCGTCTCGTCTCCGGCCATGCTGGATCGAGCTCCTCTGGCCCGCGCCGCCGGGGGCCGTTCAGAAGGCCAATGGGCGAAGAGAGGCGCACCGATCCCGAAGACGGCGCCGCGTATACCTTTGCAGAGATCTCCGCCTTCTACCGGGGCAGGTACGGGGCGCGGGAGATCGAGGCCTACTGGAGGGATGCCTGCACGCCGGCCGCGAGGCCCAGGGCAAGGGGCCGGCGCCGAGGCACGGGGTGGGCCCCGCGGGGCGGCGGCGCCCAGGCGCAGAAGCTCGAAGAAGAAAAAATGGCACAGTCGTTAGCCTGGCGAAGAGCCCAACCCATCTCTCAACGCGAGGCGGCTGCACACAGGACCGCGCAACGCACGAGGACACACCGAGGGGTCTGCAGCACCCTGGAGCGCTTCGCCAAGAAGCGTCAGACCACACCCAGAGCCCCCCATTCGCGCACACTCTCACGACCCGAGTCGCAAATCGACGCGCCACGGAGCAGGAGGACGGGGGCACGAAGAGCAGGACGAGGGATCCTGGGAGGACGGCTTAGTGAGAAGAGCAGCGCCGCGGGCTGCACTTGCGCTATACAGCACCGCGCCGCGCGAGCTGTGTGAGAGGACAGCGCGACGTGCGGAGTGCCGCCCAAGTGCCCGGGTGCCTTGCACTGGCGTGCCCCGCCTTCGCAACTTCGCGCGTGGCTCCCTGCGGGCGTGCCGAGATATGAGCGCGGGCGGTGCCATGCTTGGCACGAACGAAATGGGTACGGAAAAAATGCACCCCTTCTTGTACCCATTCTTTCCGTGCCCATTTCGGGCGTCCAAACATGCGAGCACCTCCACTGGGAGGCAGGCGACGCTCCTCCCGTGCGAGACACACAATGCTTGTGGGGGTCGCATCGTGCCGAAGGGGCAGCGGCGGCGGGGCGCCGCGCGAGCGCTCACCACGAGGGCCGCAGGCGGAGCAGATCTCCAGGGGGGGGGGGGGGCACGAAGCTCGCGAGGGGTGTGCCGCATGGCCGCGGCGGCGCGGCGCGGGCGCACCCACTGGGGCCCCAGGTGAGGCTCCCATTGACGAGCGAACAACACGCACCCATAATACCCATAGGTGGGTCGGAGGGGGATACGGGTGCGCGTTGTCGGATGGGGTCCCCCGCTCGAAAGGAAGCGCCCCCCCAGGATCCGACAACCCGCACCCATACCCATAGCCAGTTCGCCTCCCAACGTTCCCCCAAGGGTATGGGTGTGTGTTGTTCGTTCATCACCCATGGGGCTGCAGGAGGCGCGTGCGGGTCGTGCCGAGACCGGCGCAGCGGCGCCATGCGAGCGCACGCGCATGGGGGCCCTGGGTGGAGCGCCCTGGGAGGCAGGGAGCGCAGGAGGGCGGGGCCGAAGTGGGATCGGCAGGCGCCCTGCGAATGCAAGCAGCGGGGCCCCAGCTGGGGCTCCTTGCGGAGCACGATGCTCATGAGGGATGTGCCAAGATGGGCGTGGCGGCGCCATGCGAACGCACCCAATGGTGCCCCAGGTGGAGCCCCCTGGGGGGCAGGAACTGAGTGACGAGGAAGCCGAAGTTGGCGCGGCGGCGCTATGCGAACGCACACGGTGTAGCCCTAGGTAGAGCAAACCTCTTGGGGGGGCAGGAAAAGCGCGGGGGGGGGGGGGGCATACGAACACAACCAGTGAGGCACCAGGTGGAGCTCCCCGCGAGAGTCGGCTGAGGCCTTAGGCGGAGCCCTTGGGGGGCGCATTTTGCAGAACGCGCTCCTGTTGATGGGATGTGCCGAAATCGGTGGCCGCCATTTAGAACGCACCGACTGAGGCCATAGGTTGAGCCCCCTGGGAGGCAGGGAACGTATGAGGGCTGTGCTGAAGCGGGCGCGGCGGCGCCATGCGAACGCACAACACTGAGGCCGTAGGTGTACCCCCCTGAGAGGGGCAGGAAACCGTTTCGTGTGTGTGTGTGTGTGCGCGTGTGTGTGTGTGTGTGTGTGTGTGTGTGTGTGTGTGTGTGTGTGTGTGTGTGTTTGTGTGTGTTTGTGTGCTTCTGTGTTTCTGTGTTTCTGTGTTTCCGTGTTTCTGTGTTTGTGTGTTTGTGTGTTTGTGTATTCGTGTGTTTGTGTGTTTGTGTGTTTATGTGTTTGTGTGTTTGTGTGTTTGTGTGTTTGTGTGTTTGTGTGTGTGTGTGCCGAAGTTGGCGCGGCGGCGCCATGCGAACGCACGCACATGGGGCCCTAGGTGGAGCTCCCCGGACAGTGGGGGGGAGGGGGGGGGGGGCAGGAAACGTGTGAGGGATGTGCCGAAATGGGCGCGGCGGCGCCATGCGAACGCACCCATCGGGGCACTTTGTGGGGTTCCCTGGGGGGCAGGGAACACATGTGGTGCATGCCGAAGTGGCAAAAGTGGCGTTATTACCGAACGCACCCACTGGGGCCCAATAAAGAGCTCCCTGCAGAGGTCTGGAAATGTGTGAGAGGTGTGCCGAAATGGCCGCGGCGGCGCCATGCGAACGCACCCAGTGGGCCCTAGGTGGAGCTCCCTGTGGGGCACGATACCTGTGAGGGGTGTACCGAAACGAGGCGCGTGAGGGGTGTGCCGTAATTGGCCAGGGCAGGAAGAGGAGGAAGAGGAGGAGGAGGAGGAGAACGGGGAGGAGGAGGACCGGTACAAACCTAACACTCATCAGCGATGTTGGAATAATCCTTCCCTCCAAGCTTCCTCTTCACAGGCCCCTACAAGGGTTCATTCCCACTGAGGGAAGTGCCCCGTTGGGAGACACCGTTTGAAGATCTTGAAGCATACCGAAACACCGTTCTCGGGACTCCAACGCCACGAATCAGCCTGACTGTGTTTTGACGATCCTGAATCGCGCCAGAACGCCACTCTTGGGACTTCAACACCGCGAATCATTGTACCTGTTGCGCACTGGCAGTCCTGATCTTATTCCAGAACGCAATGTCTGGCACGTTGGCCATGGGACCCCCATGGAACTCTTGCAAGCATTAAAGACGAATGTGCGCGGCGCTAAGGCGAGAGCCACATCTTGAAAAGGAACCGCCCTCAGTGCACTGAGGTCGATTCAACTCTTACAAAGATTTAAGCCGAGTGTGCGCGGCGCTGAGGCGAGAGCCACATCTTGAAACCGACCCGCCCTCAATCTGCAAAGCTCTTGCAGTGTTTATCGACGAGAGCGCGCGGCGCTAAGGCGAGAGCCACATTTGAAAACCACACGCCCTCCATCTGTGAAATTGCTTCCAATGTTTGAGCTTCAGGGTCATACGTGGTGAAGACGTCTCAGGCGAAACGCCTGGCCCGCCCTTTCGACTAGTCTCGGGGTGCGACAGGGTGGATTCATTTATAAGGAAAAGGGGAGGAGGAGGAGGAGGAGGAGGAGGAGGAGGAGCAGGAGCAGGAGGAGGAGGAGGAGGAGGAGGAGGAGGAGGAAGAAGAGAGGAAGAGGCGGAGGACGAGGATGAGGAGGAGGAGGAAAGCATGAATGGAGGAGGGGGAGGGGGAGGGGGAGGAGCAGGAGGAGGAGGAGGGAGGATGGGGAGGATAAGGAGAAGGAGATGGAGGCGCGCTGCGCTTCGGATTCAAAACGAGGACCCAACACAGGAGGATTGGGAATCAACTGTCGGGGGCCCCTGCGGACCTCTTGGATCGACGCTGAGGCCCCCCTGGCAGCGCCTCCGGCGCCGCTCCTGGCGAGCTCCGCGCGCCAGGGGCGCCGATCCGGGAAGTTCGCGCGGAGCTCCGACAGTTTATGTCTGTGCAGTTGTTCCTTCTTCCAGAAGCGGCAGGCCACGGTCACCATCGAGGTGCCCCAGGGCTCCTCCCTGCGGGTGGACGGCGCCGCGGCTGCGCGCCTCGGCCCGCTGGTCCTGCAGGCATTCTACGGGGCCGCGGACCACATCTGGAGGCCCGGGCGGGAGGCGGAGCGCGTGTTCCTGACGTCGGCCGGCCGGGAGGTGACGGCGGAGGTGCGGGACCTGCTGCCGAGCGGGGCCGTGCTGGCCGACGACACCAGCTTCGGTGACCCCGCGAGCGGCAGAGAGAAGACGCTCGTCGTATGCGCGCTCCTCGCCTTCGAGGGCCAGTACAGCATCGATGCGAACGAGGGCAGCGGTGCACCTCCTGGCGACGACGAGCTTGGATTGCCCGATGGCTTCAACGTGCCGCCAGCGAGACCATCGCATCAGATTCTGCGCCCAGACGCGGACCCAAGGTTGGACAAGTCGCTGTTCGTGCGCTACGATCCGCCCGCCTGTCTCAAGACGGGCGCCATCGTGGTTGTCCTCCCGGGCGGCAACTACGACGAGTCGGATATACACGGCGGCGAGGGCCAGCCGATCGCGATCTGGCTGACCACGCTGGGCATCACCGCGGTCGTCCTGCAGTACCGCTGCGTCTCCCAGGGCCACTTCTGGCCCTCCCAGCTCGAGGACTGGACGGCATGCGCCCGGGCGGTCGCGCGCCAGGCCGCAGCCTGGGGCTGCGACCCGGCGCGCGTCGGCGCGCTGGGCTTCTCCGCCGGCGGCCACCTGGCCGGCTACGCGGCGCTGCGCGGGGAGGCGTCGGGTATAGCCGAGACTCCAGGTGAGGGGACCCGGTCAGTGGTAGGGCCCCGGAGCCCCTCCATTCTGGTCTGAATCACTATCTGAATTTTGTCTGCCGTGCATAGCTGGTGTTTTTCTTTTCGGGGCGGCGGCAATCCCGGTCAGAGTGGAACGGGGCGGCGTCGGGGGACGTCCCCCAGCGCACGTCACTGAGCCGGGCCCCCCGAAAAACCCGGTTCTGCCCGCGCCCGAGAGTCAAGCAGTGACGAAGCGTCCTGGCTCGCCTATAGCCCTACCAAACAAAGTTCTAAGAACCTTTTAAAAGTGGTTTCCACGAAATGTTCTTAGAACGTTTCTGGCGGAGTCTGTCTTATTTTACCACACCGGGCTTACGTTCTAAGAGCATTGTTTTTGTTATTCGAATATTTTTGGGTTCTAAGAACATTTCGTGGTAGGACTATAGGAATGCCGGGACGGTCGGTCCCTGCTCAAGAGAGGCGGGCGCCAGGCCGGGGCTGCAGATCCTCATCTACCCCGCGGTGGACACCCTCACCCCGCGGAGCGGCTTCATGAGCCCCTGGCGCGCGGACCAGGGCTACCCGCCGGTGGAGGCCTCGCTGCACCTCGCCGCGGCCGCCGGGGCGCCGCCGGCTTTCCTGGCCGGCATCGTGGGCGACGAGTGCTGCCCGGCCGCGGAGAACACGGACCTCTACGCCGAGGCGTTAGGCAGGGTGGGGGTGCCGTGCGAGCACGTCAGGCACGATGACCCCGACGAGGAGCACGGCTGTGGCCTGAAGGAGTGGTGGTCGAAGCCCTGCGAGGACTGGCTGCGGCATCGCGGCTGGGCGTGCGCAGTGTGACCACCGCGGCGGGGGCCAGACCGATATCCGCGGGCAGCATGTCGGCGAAGTGCCTGGCGTGCTCTTGCGGAGGAGAGGAGTCAGGGGGCCCCCAAGCGGTCCAGTGACCACACCGTCTAGTGAGTCAAAGGTGATTCGGGGTGAACGGGCCGTTTGGGGATGTGGGTCTCCGAGAAGGCCTCGGGGGCCTGGGGCCCCCCAACCTGTCCGGCGACAGACCCCGTCCTGTGAGGTCCTCGGGCTTCGAAGCCCTCGGACCACTTGAGCAGCTCAGACAAGCGGAGAATTGCGCCAACAATCGCGCGCTAGCTGCCCGCGTTGGTAAGGTCGCGCCTAGGCGCCCTCGATTCAAATGTGGCGTGCCGTGCTGGCGGCCCGCGCAAGGCACCGCGTACAGTCGCAATATCATCTTGCGTGAGGCCCGTTCCTTCTCGTCGCTCATGTGTCACGCGACGGCTTACCAGGCATCCAGCGACGTAGCCTTGCTGAATCCGCGGGCCCCCGACCCACTCCCCAGAAGCATCTGTTCGTCCCTGAGTTATGGCTTACGGCCCCCGGGCTTGAAAACAGCCCCCCGAGGCCGAACTTCAGGAGAGAGTCCAAAGCTCCAAGCAGCAGCAAGCATCAATAAAACACAGATCTCCGGGCCTGGGAATCCAAGTTGAGGGGGAGCCCGCTCCGAGCAGCAGACGACGACGACGACGAGGATAAGGACGACGACGACGACGACGACGACGGCGACGACGACGACGACGGCGGCGACGACGACGACGACGGCGGCGACGACGACGACGAAGACGGCGACGGCGACGACGACGACGACGAGGACGACGACGACACCAAGACGACGACGACGGCGGCGACGACGAGACCACGACGACGACGACGACGGCGGCGACGACGACGACGACGACCACGACGACGACGACGACGACGACGACGACGACGACGACGACAACGACGACGCCGACAACGACGACGACGACGACGACGACGACGACGACGACGCACCAGCATCGAGGCTCAAGCCTCTGCGCCGCCCGCCGCGCGCGCAGAGCTCTCCCGGGGTGGTCGCTCCTCAGCTGGGGGCGAGGCTAAGGGAGGGGGGCGATTCGGGAAAGCAAGAAACAACGGCGTGATCACAGAGGACGACGACGACGACGACGACGACGACGACGACGACGACGACGCCGACAACGACAACGACGACGACAACGACGACGCACCAGCATCGAGGCTCAAGCCTCTGCGCCGCCCGCTGCGCGCGCAGAGCTCTCCCGGGTGGTCGTTCCTCAGTTGGGGCGAGACACGGGAGGGGGCGATTCGGGAACGCAAGAAACAGTGGCGTAATCACAGGCTCTCGGCAGGTCCGCGCGGATTTATTGGGTCGGCGCTGAGCGCTGGGCCCCTCTCCCCTGGTGGCGTTTCCGGCGCTGCCCCTGGTTGGGCCCAGCGCCGACACAAGCAATTCGCGCGGACCTCCCAAAGCGTGTCTTTACGGTGTTACGTCTTATTCTAGAATCGGCTCGGGGGGGGATGTCGCCACTAGATCTCAAACGCCTTGGTCAAACATCAAGACGGGCGTGCTTCGCCATTCCCGCACCTGGGGCCCGCTTCCTGGCCACGATACTTGATGTCTGGGCTTGGCCCACGGGAGAGCATCGACCCCTCAATCGGCCACTCGCCGCCAAACAAGTCGTGCTTGACACTTTGCAGGTTCGCGTGCCTCTGGCGACTTCTGTGAGCCTCCGGAGACCTCCAAATACAGTCAACCCGCATAGTAAGGATGAGCAACTTTCCAAGGTTACCCTTGCATCCTTCCCCTTCGGCACACCCTTGGCCGCTTTAGGCGTCGGCATGGCCTTTCAAGGCCCGTGCATCCTCACCGCGCATCCTCATTACATACGTGTTGACCGTACCCCTGGAAACTTCCGAGGACATCTGCAGACCTCCGGGGGCTCGGCTCGGGGGCGGCACGTCATGATTTCCGTCGCAGCGTGACCTTCCAGAGTCTGGGCTGGAGCCCTTCCTGGGGACTGGTTTTTCATGCTGAGTCGTTTTTGGACGGTCCCGAGGCCCGGCAAGGGCCCCCAGAGGCCGAGAATTGCGCCAAGACCCAAAAACAAACGTCGCGATGTTTGTTCAGGACTCGAGGGGTGGCCCAGCAGAGGCAAGGATGGGAGGAGGGAGGAGGAGGAGGGAGGAGGAGGAGGGAGGAGGAGGAGGAGGAGGAGGAGAGGAGGAGGAGGAGGAGGAGGAGGGAGGAGGAGGAGGAGGAGAGGAGGAGGAGGAGGAGGAGGAGGGGAGGAGGAGGAGGAGGGGAGAGGAGGAGAGGGAGGAGGAGGAGGAGGAGGAGGAGGAGGGGGGGAGGGGGAGGGGGAGGGGGAGGGGGAGGGGGAGGGGGGAGGGGAGGAGGGGGAGGGGGAGGGGGGAGGGGGGGGAGGGGGAGGGGGAGGGGGAGGGGGAGGGGGAGGAGGAGGAGGGGGAGGAGGAGGAGGGAGGAGGAGGGAGGAGGAGGAGGAGGAGGAGGAAGAAGAGGAGGAAGAGGAGGAAAGGAAGGAAAGAAGGAGCGCGGGGCCCTGTCTCTTCAAAACGGGGACCCAACACCTCAGGATGGCTTGGAAAAAAGAAACATCGCGAGTGTTTGTTCGGGACTCGAGGGGGTATGGGCCCACCCCTCGGTCGCCCACCCCTCGCCGGCGGCCGGTCGTCCCTGGGAGTCCGAAGCCGTGCCCCGGGGGGCGCTCGCGGCTCTTCGCGATCGGGGGGCTGCGCTGGCCCCCCCTTGCATCCGATCCAGGAGGACAACAAAAGGCTGCACAGGATTCGACAAGACGCAAGATCCACCACCAAAAAAGACCCATAGAGATCCGACGCTCCAAACAAAATGGGAGCGGGCGGCGGTTGCCCGCTTTCGGCCTCTGGGGGCCCTCGCCGGGCCTCGGGAGCCTCAAAAGACGACTCAGGACGAAAAACGGGCCCTAGGGAAGTGGTCCAGTTCTCCGGGGCCCGCGCATCGAAAGAAATCGCGGCAGCCCGATGGCTGGGTACACACAGACAGCCTCCAATGGCTTGTTCCTGGGGGCTCAGGGGAGGGAGGCGGTGTATGAATCACCACTGGGAGCCAGCGACTTTCAACCGCCTCCCTCCCTGAAGGTACATGCAAAGTCCGTCGGAGGGCGTCGGTGTAGATCTTTTCGTGGCGTCCAAGAGTGACCTTTCGCCGGAGGGACCTGTGGCGCGGGCCCCTTGGGGTCCTCCGACCGCCGAACGCGAAGCGGCAGTGGCGTCTTGCGCGCTTCTTTTGGGCTCCCCTGCGGCCCCTGAAAAACCGCTCACCAGAGGCCACTCTTGCCTCGGGTCACTCTTGCGTGCAGCTGAGAAAACTGCGTCTGATCATGAAGATTCGGAGCCGCGCGGCTCTCTCGGGACAGCGCTGGAGTCCCTGCCCTGGGCGGCGCTTCCGGCGCCACCCCCTGGCGCGCGTAGCGCGCCAGGAGGGGGGGGGGGTGCAGCGCCAGCCCGAGAAGTCCGCGCGGACCTCCGAAAGATTGTGCTCACGCGACGGGTCGGTCGTTGAAAGCAGGTTGTCATGGATACCCAGATCCCAGTGTGCTTCGAGTGCCCACCTACTTCAAGAGTCGATGTGTGTCTGCTGTGTTTTGTCATTATCTGAGAGGGCCTTCACCTTCCTGCCTCATGCTTTTATCTACCCAGCTCGGGGCGCGATCTGTCCCCCCTGAGCCGCTCGCTCCGTCTGCCCCGCTTTCGGCCGCGCCCTCTCCCTGCTCCTCCACCTTGCGTGGTGGCACAATTCGCTCCAACGGCATCCCAGCTTAAGCCTCTCATCGCCAGTGCAGTCGCCCTCTGCTTAGCTGTCGACGCAATGTTTTTGTCATGGAAAATAGTAGCAAAAATCATTCTGACGCTGTATATTTCGATGTTCGAATAGCAAAGAATCAAGCATTTAAAAACATGGACGCTCGCTCGCCCAAACACCTGCGGGATTCCACCGCGTCAGGGCTGCCGTGGTCGGCGCTCCGAGGGGGCCGCGCCGTGGTCGGCCCCCGGCCGAGTCGACATCCCCACCCCCAACCCCCGCCGAGCAAGGGGGGAAGGCCAGCAGATCCCGGGAGCCTCGTGCGTCCTCGCGATTCGCCGACGGGGAGCGGTATAACATAAACTGTTCCGCCGTCGGGGACGCCTGCCCCACGGCGGCTGGAAAGTGTATATACCCCGACGTGCCACCATAAGGGGTCTAAGCTGCCAGGCCTCCCTGGGGCAGGCTGTCCAGGCGGCGGACAAGTTTATGTTATACGGCTCTTTGTCCGCCAGCGAGAATCCGCCTTCAGTATAGGGGGCCGGCCTTCTCAGTGGGCGGGGGGGCCTCTCAGAAGCCCTCGCGTGCCTTGGGAGACAGCCTGCGGCTTCAGAGAGAAGGCCTGCCCGGACAGGCGAGGCCCGCATGGGCTCCGCCCGCGGCCCGCGGAAGGTCCCGACCCGCTCCCCGGGACTGGCCCTTCACACCCCGGGTCGCTTTGCGCACGGCCTCTGGGGGCCCAGCGGGGGCCCCCAGAGGCCAAGAACGACGGAGGACGACCTCCCGCCCTCCTTCCCCAGGACGCTGCACACTTCAGGAGACGGCTTCCCCAGAAGGCGGGGGGGGGCTTCTGAGAGGCCTGGCCGCCTGCTGAGCTGGCCGGCCCCCTCTGCCTTCCCCCCCTTTGTCGGGGCGCACGTGACGGGGTTCAGCGCAAACGGGGCTCAGCCACAACGCCGGATCCTGCAGCACTGTGTAAGCCCATGTCAAGAAGCACCCTGCTTGCCTCCAGGGTGTCTTGGGTTCCGATGGTTTTGCCATGGAAGGCGTGACGCTCCCACGCCAGCAATCAAGGGGCATCCTGGGGTCTCAGGGTTGGGTTTCTTTCGGAAGGTTTCTTCTGGACTGGCCTCCCTCTGCACCCTGCAGAAAGCGGGAGTCTGGCTCAGCCGGGTTCGGGCGCCGCTCTCGGCCCTGGTGGCCCCACACCTTGCCCGAGCCGGGGCGGGGAGGCTGCCCCCCCCACACAGAAGACGGCCGCGCACTCTTTCTGAGCTGGCCGAGCTGGGTTTGCGCTGAGCTTGGCTGCTCCACGCCCCGCCCTGGGCGCGCCCCCCCGCGTCTCGCCCCCCTCCGCCCCTGGGCGCATGGCGGCGGTGGCTCCGAGGGGGGCGGGCGAAAGCCGCCGTCGGGCGGGCGGAGGCCAGCGGCAACGGCCGCGCAGGGTGTCGGGCAGCGCGCGCGCCGTGCGCGCGCGCGTTTGCCGTGCGCCCTCGGGTGCCACCGGAGGCCCTCGACGGCCCTCGGCAGCCCTCGGCGGCCCTCGGTGGCCCTCGGCGGTCCTCAGTGGCCCTTGGAGGCCTCTGGCAGCCGTCGGCTGTCATCGTCGGCTTTCGGAGGCCATGGCGAAGGTGTGGAGATTATCGTCGTCGTCATCGTCGTCGTTGGTGGTTTCCGAAGAGTTCGTCGGAATGATTTGTTCAAGGGAATATGTTCGTGTTGGTGTTGGTATAAGTAAAAGTATGGGTCCGCTGGGGTTTTGCCTGATCGGCGCATGTGGGTGCCTCGTGGGCGCCCTCTGAGCTGGCTGGGTGTCTGCCGGGCACCTGGGCGGCTCGCCCCCTCCGCGCTGGGCCCCGCGCGGAGAGGCACCGCTGGAGCCCGCAGAGCCTTGGCCCGGCTGGGGCCGCCCAGGTCTTCGCCCCGCGGGCGCCTCGCGGGGCGCCTCGCGGGGCCCAGGCCCGGTGGGCGCCCGCGTGGGGTCCGCGTTGATGCTCCCTTTGCGGGGACAGCCGGGGCCCCCGGGTAGTACCCAAGGGGAGCCGGTCAGCGATGGGGCCCCGAGGTCCACAGAATGGATTGGAATCGTTGGGCCAGGTCTGCCGCGGCTGGTGTTTTTCGGGTGACGGCAGTGCTGGTCAGTGGAGTGGGGCGGGGGGGCGTTCCCCAGTACCATCACTAAGCCAGGTCCCACTAAACCCAGTCCTGCCAACGCCCGACCCTTTCCGAAGAAGAAGAAGAGAAACATTCTACAACACTCTCAAGCCCAGACTTGAGGGTCCACATCGGGGCATTGCCATCCGCATGGTTGGTTCTGGTTCTGCATGTTTTTGTTTCATGTGAGCTTATACCATCCCAGCCAAAAGTGGTATCGACCCCCACCCACCCCCCGGTCAACCTTGTCGAAGAATGCCATGCGCGCCCGCTCGTGTATCTCAGAACGAAAGAGGTTGTTCAATCATCCATTGCATCAGCTGCCACAACGTCCACACGCGCGCATATGCCGAAGCCATACCAACACGCATTCTCCCTGCAAGCATGTCAACATAACAACCGCCAGAACTCATTGGCTTTTGCCATAAACTTGTTGCAGCGTGCGACCATCATCATCATCATCAGCATCCTCATCATCATCATCAGCAGCAGCATCATCATCATCATCATCATCAACAGCATCATCATAATGATCAGCATCACCATCACCATCACCGTCATCATCCTTAGCATCGTCATCATCAGCATCAGCAGCATCATCGTCGTCATCGTCGTCATCATCAGCATCATCCTAACCACCTTCACCACCGACATCTGGACATCATCACCGTCAACGTCGACACCAGCAGCGGCGCCTTCATCGGCATTGCCGCCATCATGGCCATCACCGCCATCACCGCCACCGCCGACGAGCAGCGTCACCGGAATCGACCACCACCGACCAGCATTGCGAGTCAATCCAACCATTGTCCTTCGAGGACCACCGCCACGTACAGGAGGAGGAGGACGAGGAAAATTCAGCGGCGCAGACAGCGATTTCCCGATTGCATCTCTACGATCTCTGCCGCTTCGCCAGGGACGAACAGAGCGCGACGACAACGACGACGACGGCGCCCGTTATCATGCCCAACCACCCCTTCCTTCCCTCCCCGACCAAGCTCCCCCGGCACCGCCAGCAACCATCAAGAACAGGGGCTGCACCGCACTCACCATCATCCATAAAAATGCGAGGTCATTGGAAAGTGATGACCGCATCGAGGAACTCCTACGTGACGTGCAGAATCAGCATTGGGACGCCATCCTGATCAACGAAACTTGGAGGACAGAGCAAAAGGAATTGTGGATTACGGTCGAGGGGCACGCTTTCGCAGGCTCTGGAAACGACCAGTGGTGCCATGGTGTCGCAATCCTCGTGCACAAACGCTGGAAGTCTTACATATCATAGTTCCAGGCCGTCAATGCCAGGCTCGCTGCAATGATCATCAAAAAGGGGCGCATCCGAATACAGCTGGTCTCAGCATACTTTCCGCATACCGGGCATACCGACGCACACATACAAGGCATGTGCGACGGGATTGGCGCCATGCTCAAGGAGTCCCGCACGCGCAACATACGGGCCATTCTTGCTGCAGACTTCAACGCCCAGGTTGGTGCACAACCGCGGTCGGAGCAAGCATCCACAGGCACATCTCGGACAGTCAACGATGTTTCGTCTCGATTTGTAGGCGCCCATGGATATGGCGACGAAAACTCAAGAGGTCAATGGCTGCGGCAGTGGGCCACAACCGAGAGGCTCGCGATCACGAACACGTTCTTCCGCAAACCGCCAGACAAGCAAATTATGTACACCACGACCGCGGGAAACCCGCGACAGTACGATTATATACTTGTGGATCGAAGCATGCTCCCTCTGTGCCTCGACGCCGAAGCCTCGAACATCGTTGATCTCAACTCGGACCACAAAGCCGTTATGCTCCGCATTCTCTTCCCCGCGCGAGCAGCATCGAACGCCAGGCGCTCTTCGAGGAGTATGTCTTCAAATGCCGCTTCCCGCAGCCAGTGCTGGGCGAACGTCAACTTCGACAGGTACCAGCGTTACTTGGGCCTCCAAGTTCAGACCGGAGAGTTGCCGACAGACCCACAGGAGCTGAGCACCATCATCGAGCAGAGCATGTGCGCCTCTGCAGCCGACGGCGTGAATGAATGCCGAGGCGACGCCGTCACGCACGGACGCAACCACTGCAAGCGACCCTCAGCACCAACGTCACGACGACATCATTGCAGACTTTGTCGAACGACGCCAAGGCACACCCGCCGCAGACACCATCACCCGACGAGCGATCAGCAAAAACATCCAGCATAACATACGACGGCAAAACCGCGCCAACCGGAGGGGTCGTATAAAGTGAATTCTGGAGCAGTGCAAGGGCCTGAAGCACATCAGCTCCGTCAAAACCCGGAGAAGGAAGACGCTCATTCCTGACATGATGGGGGGCGACGGTGTCAAGCAGACAACCAGACAAGGGATCGCGGACACATTCGCAGATTTTTACGCCGAGTTGTACGCCTCTTCCATCGCGGGGGATCGACCAGCTGACGCAACGTGCACACCGCAGCAGGTCCCACCCTTCACTGAAGAAGAGCTCACAGCAGCAATATCACAACTCAAGGGCGGCAAAGCACCAGACACCAACGGCATTCGGGCTGAAATGCTCCAACAACCAGGCCGAGAATTGCAACGCGCTCTATTGCAACTGTACAACACAGTCATCAAGGTAGACGTTCCCACGCCAGCCAACTGGAGAAAGACCGTCATCACAGTAATTCCTAAATCGGGAGATTTAGCTCTTCCCCAGAATTATCGCCCGATCTGCACCATACCATTGCCATACAAGCTCTTCAGCAGACTACTTCACAACAGACTACAACCATCCTTGGACCGACAACAACCTGACGACCAAGCTGGTTTCCGACCTGGCCGGGGCACGCGTGATCATCTTTTTACCTTTAACATCATACGAGACAGAGCTGCTGAATGGAACCAGCATCTATGGATAGCCGCCATAGATTTTAAGAAAGTTTTCGACAAAGTTGAACACGACAGCTTGTGGGCAGCACTACACCGCCAGGGCGTTTTACTGGGGTACGTGGATTTTCATAGACGCCTGTATCGTGACCAGACAGCCCTGGTGCGCACCGACACCACCAGCAGACCCTTCGACCGACGTCGCGGCACAAAACAAGGAGATCCGTTGAGCTGATTACTTTCCAGCGCCCTGCTTCAACATATCCTAGCACCGCTGGTCCCAGACTGGCAGAGAAACGCCGGGGCGTTCAATTGGGCCACGCCGACGATTCGACACTCACGAACCTCCGCTTCGCAGACGACATGTTGCTGACCAACCAAACACTACACAATTAGAAAATATTGCTTTCCGACTTGATCACATCTGCCAAGCCACATGGGTTGGAGCTACACCCAACCAAAACCAAAATCATGACCAACCAGCTTCGCAACCGTGACCAGACGGCTACAGTAAGAGGGATGGGCATCGAAATCCTACCACGAACCAGCACCATCAAGCACCCAGGCCAGACGATCACCTTCTACGACGCCGCCGCGACCGAAGTCAAGCACCGGATTCTAGCTGCGTGGGCGTGTTTTAGCTGCCACCGACAAGAATTCACCAGCAAACACCACCCACTGAGACATCGATTGCGACTTTACAAGGGTACAGTCATCCCTACTATGCCGTACGGCGCAGAAACCTGGACTCTGACAGAGCCCCTCAAGCAGCAGCTACGACGAACGCAACGACGCATGATCAGACTAATCACAGGGACTCCGAGGAGACGCACAGCTGCACCGACACCGCACCACGACCCAGCAGTAGCCCAAAATAACACCCACCACCACAGTAAGGGATCCACCAATCCACGCGACTCCAACGATTCCAACGATTCCAACGATTCCACCGACTCCGACGTACGCAGCGACTTTCCCAACCCATTCAATCTGCAAGATGCAGGCAACGACGACGAGGACACGCAGCCTAGCAGCGGGGGGAATGACGACCTGGAGTTGTGGTCCGACTTCATCCGCAGAAGCACACGGAGGGCGAAATCATTCATGCTCATGCGCGATGTACCAGACGTATTGTATATATATCGTAGAATGGTATGGCGATGGGCGAATACGGTGTCTCACAATCCCACGACTCGCTGGGCCCGGAGAGTGCTGGAATGGAACCTGAATTTCAATACACGCCAGCGCAGACGACGACAGCAAGTGGGACAGCCAAAGCGGTGGGACGACGATATCCGCAGCTTCCTGCACAGTCTGGACAGCGAGGCCGTAGAGGAACAGAACAGGGCAGCCACCCAATCACACAATACGAGCACAACAACACGAACGACCTACGATGGATCCAGGCCGCTTGCTGTACAGACTGGTGGACATCCTGTGAGCCTGCATGCGTTTCACAAGCTTGAATAGTTTGGTGATCTTCTTTGTCGAGGCCACGGCCTCCACGCCATGCCCTAATGGACACGGGCGGGCTCCCCGGTGGAGCGCGCACGACTCCGGCGTTCGCTTCGCTTCGCCACAACCGTCGGTACGATCGGCATCGCTGCTGCCGAGCTCGGCGTCATCATGATATATCGCGCAAGCTCGAGCCGCCGCCCCGCAATGGAGCGTCCGCGAGCCAGTGCGGCCTTTGAGACTTACCATCTGAAGGAGCATCGTCCTCCTCCTTCTCCTCCTCCTCCTCCTCCTCTTCCTCCTCCTCGGGTAAGTGCCATCGCGGCCGCATGTGCTGTGCCAAACCACCTGGCCGATCTGCACGCGATCGTGCGCACGCCTGCGCGGCCGTAGAGATGTGCCAGCAAGTTTCCATCAGTAGCCGCAGTCGTGGCCGAATGGGCCTTGCCGAACAAGTTGCGGGTGGGAGGTCTTCAGTATTGGTCGCACCACATAGGTTGCACAACCTAGATTCTACCACATAGCGTGCAGCAGATAGATGCACCACAGCGTGGACAACCATACATGTCACCACGTAGATTTCCATGCATAGCTTGCGCCCGTGGATTGCACCGCAAAGCTCGCAATTCATAGGTTACACCACAGAGATTGCACCACAGCTCAAACGCATCCAGGAAATAATATGGCACTGCTTGGGGCCCAAGCTTGCAAACATGGTTGCGTCCGTGCCCGGGTGGATTGTCCAGCCCTTCCAGGAGCAGAGCAACGGAGGACAAAGGGTCTTTAAGCTATCCCCGCCCCCCTCCCTGGATGACATCTGTGCTATGACACCTGGGTTTCGGCGCTCCGGCGCCCCCGCCGAGCTCTTAGAGGGCCGCCCCCCCCCCCCTGGGGCAAACAGCGGCGACTTGCCTGGCCTTGCCTGGCCTTGCCCCCTTCCTGGGCGCAGGGGCCGCCCCCGGGGACCCTCGCTTGCCCAAAAGGTGGCCGGCTGCCTCGGCTCCGCCCTCTTCTGCGCCCACGACGTCATCCCATGGGCCGCCCGCCGCCTGAGGTACAGGACGGGCCCGTCCCTGCGCGGTGGCCCCCCCCCCGCCCGCCGAGCACCCACCTCTGGCCCGAGGGCTCCAGGCCGGCCCCGGGTGCGGTCCGAGCAGACGGGGGTCGGAGGATCGCGCCGCATCGTCGGCGCGTCGGCGATGCGGTTCGACGTGTAGCCCGACATTCCGCGCTGGCGTCGCCGATGCATCGCCGATGTCGCCGATGCATCGGCGTTGCATCGGCGACGTATCGCCGATGCATCGGCGACGCGGCGCGATCCTCCGACCCCATGTACTCCGACCTCTTCCAGGAGGCCTCTAGAAGCCAGGCCGCTTCCCGGTTCGAAGAGATCGCGACGGAAGGTTTCTGACAGGTTTCGGCCTTTTGGGGGGGCCATGGCCCTGGGACCGTCAAGAAACTATTCCGGAAAAAGCGAGGCGTCGAAGTTCTAGGATTCCCCCCCTCAGCCCTTGGCCCAAGAGGTTCCAAGGGCCAGCTGGCCAGCCAGAGCGGCCGCACTCTGAGGCACCGCCGAGGGGGTTGGCACCCCAGCAGCCCCCAAGTAGAGCCCGCCTTTGCGGATGAGGGTGAGGGAACCGTGGAAGGGGCTCGCGTGCGATACGCCCCGTGTCCGAAGGGAACAACATGTGACTCTGGTCAGAGCAGGTGCGGAAGCGGTTATGTGGTGGTACAAAGCATCCCTTGCCCAAAAGGGGGCATCATGGGACCCATCACTCGGACCGGGGAGAAGAAGGTGCGGGGCCGGTTCTTTGATGTCACAGGCAGGAGGCGGGCAAGTGGCGGACGGGTCGCAGGCGGGGCACGTGGCGGGCCGCGTGCAGGTTGCGCGCGCGTGTCTGCTGAAGCGGCAATCTTCACACATGAGAAGTGATCCTGGCGCAGGCGCCGATGTCTCAGATGTCGCACGCGGCGGGTAAGCTACGGGCAGGTCGCAGGTCGAACGCAGCCGGGGTGGATGTCCTTGAAGTCCGCAGTTGGAATGGAGCCCGCCCCTCTCGCCGCTTCTCGTATGGAAAAATACAGCAGGACAGTTTCGGACCGATGGCAAAGTGGCCGCTGATCCGTGGTATGCGGTGGGCGGGCACTTTCAAATCAACAAACGGAAAATCTCTCGGCTATTCTTCTATTTCTTCAAGGACCCAGCCAGCGTGGCAGACAAACTGTGGACAGGACACAAGCGGGTCGCAGGGGGGGGGGTGAGGGGTCGGAGGCGGGCTCTAGGCTGGCGCGGAGCGCGGGCGTGGGTCGCGGGCGGCGAAGGTCGTGGGAGCGGGTGGGTCGTGGGCGCGGGAGCGGGTCGCGAGCGCGGGTCACGGGAGCGGGCTGCGGGAGAAGTTCGCGGGCGCGGGCCTCAGGTCTGTGATCCTTCCGAACACACACAGACACACAAACACACACACACACACACACTCTCGCGCACAGCAGGCAGTCGCGTGCGAGACTGTGCGGCGAGAGTCGCGAATCCGCACCGCGGGGGCAGCGTAAGACCGCTCGGCCCCCCACTCTGAGAAAAATCCATTGGCCTCAGATCATGGCTACCCCTGGGACTCGGGGCGTTGCCGACGGCCGCCAACAGGAGCTCTGCAAGGGGTCGCGCGGCGATCTTGCGGAACCTGCGCGTCATCGGCCGGAGGTGCCGCGCGAGGGGACGGTTCGCGGACGCCTCCACGCTGGGGCCGCTGCTGTACGTGGAAGACCTGGCGGCGGCGGTCTCGGAGCACCTGCAGTCGCACGAGGCGTGTGCCCTGCGGGCCACCGCGCGCGCGGTCAGGCAGGGCGCATGGGGCTCGAAGCTTCGCTCCTACGTCTACGCCTTCGGCGGCGAGTGCGCCGACACTGGCCACACGGAGCGCCTGCGCCCGGAGACGGGCGCGTGGGAGGCGCTGCCGCCGATGGGTCAGGGCCGCATGTGGGCGACCGGGGTGGCGATGCAGGGGTGCCTGTTCGTGTGTGGGGGCTCCCACGGGCTTGGCCCAGTAGACCTGGTCGAGTGCTTCAGCCCGCGCCGCGGCTGCTGGTCGACGCTGCCGCCGATGAAGAGCCGCCGGGCGTGGGCCTCTGGCGGCGCCATCGGGGGCTGCCTCTACATCTGCGGCGGCCGAGACCTCAACAGGTGCCACTCCTCCGCGGAGTGCTTCAATCCAGAGGTCGGCGAGTGGGAGGCGGTCGGGAACATGCGGTGCGCGCGCTACGGCGCAGCTGGCGCCGTGGTCTCTGGGCGGCTATACGTCTGCGGAGGCTTCGCGACTCCGAGGCACCTCGCCCCGAACCCCGAGGGCCCCGAGACGAGCGCGAAGCAGTTCTGGGGCATCGACTCGGTCGAGCGCTTCGACGCGGAGGTGCGGGACTGGGCCGAGATGCCTCCGATGCGGCACCGGCGCGGCTGGTCTGTCGCAGCGGCGGCACTCGGCCACGTGTACATGTGCGGGGGCCGCAATGAGGACCAGGGGGCCAGACAATAAAACACACTCGCATATCAAGAGAAGTCGCACGGGCGCGGGCTGCTTCTCAGCTGGTGCCCTGCAGCCTCTTCGGCGCCCGTCGGCAGCGCCTTAAGCGCCTCCCAGCCCGCGCTTCGCGTGCCTCCAGGCAGGCGTGTGTCTTGAGGGGGGGGGGGAGATCCTGCGCTGGCGGAGGTCCCTGCGCGGACGCCCGGAGGCGTGTGATCGTGCATGTTTCGGGTTCTCCGAGGATGGGGTGCTCAGCTCCGTGGAGCGCTTCATGCCCGAGCTTGCTCCGTGGGAGACGCTACCATCCATGGGCAAAGGGCGCCACGCGGCCATCGGTGCCGTGGTGGGTGGTCGGATCTACGTCTTGGGGGGCCGTGCTGGCCGTTCCATCTTGAGGACGTCGGAGGTTTTCGATATCGCGCAGGGGGGCTGGAGCCCAGCCCCGCACATGGCCGAGGGCCGTGCGTGGGCAGTGGGCGCCGTGCTCGCGAGTACTGCAGGGTCATGATCGTTTGAACCCGGCTGCCTGCGGCAGGCCCCGCCATCTCGGGGGCAACGATAGGGAGGAGAGGAGGAGGAGGAGGAGGAGGAGGAGGAGGAGGAGGAGGAGGAGGAGGAGGAGGAGAGAGGAGGAGAAGGGGGAGGGGGAGGAGGAGGAGGAGGAGGAGGAGGAGGAGGAGGAGGAGGAGGGGAGGAGAGGAGGAGGAGAGGAGCAGGAGGAGGAGGAGGAGGTGGAGGAGGAGGAGGAGGAGGAGGAGGGGTGGAGGAGGAGGAGGAGGAGGAGGAGGAGGGAGGGGGGGGAGGGGGAGGGGGAGGGGGAGGGGGAGGGGGAGGGGGGGGGGAGGAGGACAAGCTAGGTGCGCTCGCGTCATATCTGAAATCCTACCCCTCCCTCCCATCCCTTACCATGGCGCAGATCCCCTCTCTACTCGCACAGTCGGATGTCGAGCAGGGCAATGATCCCGAAAGGGTACGCGAGGCATTTTAGAGCACGGCGTGGCATGGCGTAGAAGAGCACCGCAAAGCGTAGTATCAACCTCGCATTGCATTGCATGCCGTGGCATGGCACGGGAAATGACGCCAGCGCTGCAGCGGGAACAGGATTCGGAACGAGCGGAAGCGCGGAAATGAGGCCAGCGCTGCAGCGGGAGCGCGATTCGGAACGAGCTGAAGCGCGGAAATGAGGCCAACGCTGCAGCGGCAACACGATTCGGAACGAGCGGAGGCCCGAAAATGAGGCCCGCGCCTCAGCGAGAGCAGCATTTTGAAAAAAATGCAAGCGAAAACCCAACTCCCGGGAATCCTGTGTGTAAAAAAGCAGGACGCGGGGGGGGGGGCGAACTTCCCCAGCACATCATCAGGGGAAGAGGGAGAGTAGTATTCATATTGAGTAATTGTGGGAGGAGGAGGAGGAGGAGGAGGAGGAGGAGGAGGAGAGAGGAGGAGGAGGAGGAGGAGGAGGAGGAGGAGGAGGAGGAGGAGGAGGAGGAGGAGGAGGAGGAGGAGGGCGAGATGGGCTCAAGGGGGGACGCATCGACCCCCAATCGCCCATTCACCGCCGACAGGGGCCCAACGCCCTCCCCCCCGATCAGGAGCGTGGGGATCTCCTATCGGGGGCCTGTCGTCGATCTCTTAGGTGATGGTCGATGCTTTCCCCCCCTGAGCTTGTGCCCCCCCTGCCGCTGCCCCTCACGATCGTGCCATCCCGGCAGTGTATTTGATCTCTGGTCGTCGAGGAGCGCCAAGCAGACCGTTGACGCATGGCACCGCGTGCCCCGAGGATCGGGAGAGCCTCAGCGCGGTGAGTTCCAAAACCACTGCCTGCAGTGTGCATCCCATGACGTTTGGCTCCTCGGGGCTTCTCTTGGAGCCCTCCCGATGCCATCTGGGGGCCCCCCCTGGGCCGCCTTGATGCAAGCTTCGGCCGCCGGGGGGGGGCGATCGCGGGACCACTACTGGCGGCCCTGGGGGGAACTGCCTCGGCCGCCTCGGAAGCCACGCTGGACGCTCTGGAGGGACCAGGGCAGCCTTCGGCGGCGGGAGAGGGCGGGCATTGAGAAGGAGAAGTCCTTCTCAGAAGCCCTCGCGCCCTCTGAGAAGTCGCTTCTTGTCGTCGGGAAAGGCTTCGAAAACTTCTCAGAAGCCTGTGGGACTTCGAACCTTCTGAGACGGCCTTCTCCTTCTCACTTCCCCCCCCTCGCTCGCCGCCGATTCCAGGGAGCCCCGGGAGGCAGGGACGGGGCACTCACACACTGCGTGTCGAGAGGGGGGCCCCTCCCCTGAGAGGAGCAGTGGAACCCTATACCGGGCAGCACCGGGCGGTCTGCCACGCCTCAAGCGTGCCAGGGGTGGCACGGTGGCGGCTTTTGGAAGGCCCTCTTCAGGAAGCATTGTACATAGGAGAGCCAGACCGCATGCGATGCCGTTTGGTTGGTGATAGTTACACGTGTACAGATTCGCATCACGGGTACGTCCGTGGTGATGTTGGCTCGTCCGCACGGGCCAAGGTAGTTGCAAGGCTCTGTCGCGTCAAGCGAAGTTTCTAGACCGCGCATCAAGTATAGAGCCTAGGCCACGAATTCATGGTCGAGTTTGAAGCTGCGGCGCTGAATTGTAAAGCAGCTGATCCTCTCGAGAGGTCGGCTCTATAAGTTCCAATTTCGGTGTGCTCGAGAGGCCTGACCGAGTGCTTGAGGAGCAATTTCTGCGATATTGATTGGTCCTGCCACGCATCACAGCTACGTTACGCATTCCCTCGCTTCTCTTCCTCGTTCACGCGCGTGGCCGAGTCGATCTTCAATATTGGAGCGCGGACTCGTTCTATTGTGGCGCCCCACGGCGGTGGGCATGTCTAGCTTTGACAAGATGCGCGCCCAGCATGAATCGTCAGGCAACCATTGGTTGCACTTGCATGTGACGTCCAACCTCGTATTGAGCGGACACGCACAACTGCAAACACACACACACACACACACGCACTCACACACTCACTCACACACATACACACACTGGCGTGCGTCTAAAGCACGTGCAGCGCACGTCCGTCACACGAACGATCACACGTGCCGCGTGCGAGTGGTTCTCGTGTGAGCGCAGGGTGGTTTCCATCGCGCATGCCAGGGCCGTCCGACCTGAGCGCCCGCGGGATCGACACACGCACGGTGGAGTGCGCGCGTGCCGCGGATGTTGCACACATCATGACTCGGCAGCCCGCCGAGCACAGTGACGCATGGGTTCGTTTCGCGCTCTCGCCTGGTCGTCCGGCCCGTGGGTTGTTCCAGCAGGTCTGCCCCCACGAGAACGGCCGCGCCAGGGCTCGAGATGCTGTCGTCGTCAATGCTCCTCCTCCTCCCTCTCCTTCCCCTCCTCTTCCCGAAGCTGGCCGTCTGGCTCAAGCCTGGTTTGCACCACTGGCAAGGGTCTACAGCCGGTCTTTTTAGGGCTTGCACCTAACATTTTATTATTGCCCCGCCATACATTCGTCGGGCAACCATGGCCACACCTTTTCCATCCGACACGGCCATCGTCGTTGGGGGCGGTCTTGGCGGCATGTCCGCCGCAAACACGGTTCTAGAGAACAACGGCAAGGTCGTGTTGTTGGACAAGTCTTCCTTCTGCGGCGGCAATTCCACCAAGGCCACTAGCGGCATCAACGGTGCAGAGACCAAGACGCAGAAGGACAAGGGCATCGATGACACCATCACTCTGTTCACAAACGACACCCTCAAGGGCGGTGCCAAGAAGCCCGAGCTGGTCAAGGTCCTGTGCGGCAACAGCGGGGCCGATGTGGACTGGCTGGTGGAGAAGTTCAACCTCGACCTGTCCCTGGTCGCCCGCCTGGGCGGCCACTCGGCACCCAGGACGCACCGAGGCGCAGAGCGATTCCCTGGCATGACCATCACCTATGCCCTCATCCAGATGGTGGAGAAGATCGCGGAGAGGAGCGACAAGGCGCGCATTATTACCAAGGCGAAGGCCACCAAGCTGCTGACCGCCAACAAGGTTTGCGTGGGCTGCGCGTACGAGAAGGGCGGCGCGGAGTTCCAGGAGCACGGCCCTGTGATCCTGGCCACTGGCGGCTTTGGCGCCGACTTCACCAGCAACTCGCTGCTTGCGCAGTACCGGCCCGACCTCATGCACCTGCCCACCACCAACGGCGAGCATTGCACCGGCGACGGGATCAAGATGGGCGAGGCGATCGGCGCCAAATCGATCGACTTGGAATGGGTCCAGGTGCACCCCACGGGCTTGGTGAAGCCCGACGACCCGGACGCGAAGATCAAGTTCTTGGCCGCCGAGGCACTCCGTGGCGTCGGCGGTCTTGTACTAGATGCAAACGGGAAGCGCTTCGCGAACGAGCTGGGACGACGCGACTACGTCACAGGCGAGATGTGGAAGAACAAGCCGCCTTTCCGACTCTGCCTGAACAAGGCTGCGTCCTCTGAGATCGCGTGGCATTGCAAGCACTACACCGGCCGCGGCGTCATGAAGTTCTACGAGACAGGCGACGCACTGGCCAAGGACATGGGTGTTCCTCTTTCTGTGTTGGAGCAGACGCACGCCGCTCACTACCAGGCTGCGAAGAAGACAGAGAAAGATCCAGACGGTGGCTCCTATCCAGCGTACCCCAGCGGCAAGTCCTGGGACGAGGCAAGCGGAAAGACTGGCTCGGGCAAGAAGTTCTATCATAATGTCATCGACGGTCCCGCAGTGAAAAGCGAGCCCTTCTACGTGGCCATCATCACGCCCGTGATCCACTACTGCATGGGGGGCCTCGAGATTGACACGGACTCTGCCTGCATCGGTGCCGACGGGAAGGCCATCCCAGGATTGTACGCTGCGGGGGAGGTCGCTGGCGGTGTGCATGGCAACAACCGCCTGGGCGGCAACTCGCTGCTGGACTGCGTAGTGTTCGGCCGCGTGGCTGGCCTCGCTGCGACCAAGTACATGTTGGGCGCGGATTGCAAGCCCGTGAGCCTCAAAGACCTCTCCGGCGGAGGCCTGACCGGCGAGGTTAAAGCGTCCAAGAACGCGGGCGGCTCGTACGAGGATGGCATGAACAAGACCGACGGTGCCGGCAAGCCGAAGAAAGAGAAGAAGGCGAAGAAGGACAAAATGGAGTCTAGCGGTGGTGGCGGCGGCCTCACCATGGCGGAGGTGGCCAAGCACACCAGCAAGACCGACTGCTGGGTGGTCGTGGCTGGCGAGGTGCTCGATGTGACCTCGTTCCTGAGCCAGCACCCCGGAGGCGAGCTGGCCATCCTCACGTTCGCCGGGAAGGACGCCACCGAGGAGTTCAACATGATCCACCCTCCGGACGTGATCCCGAAGTACGCCCCTGACGCCGCCATCGGCAAACTCGGGGCAGGCGGAGGTGAGGAAAAGCCGAAGAAGGAGAAGAAAGAGAAGAAGGTGAAGTCTGGCGGCGGTGGCGGTGGTGGCGGCGGCCTCACCATGGCGGAGGTGGCCAAGCACACCAGCAAGACCGACTGCTGGGTGGTCGTGGCTGGTGAGGTGCTCGATGTGACCTCGTTCCTCAGCCAGCACCCCGGAGGCGAGCTGGCCATCCTCACGTTCGCCGGGAAGGACGCCACCGAGGAGTTCAACATGATCCACCCTCCGGACGTGATCCCGAAGTACGCCCCTGACGCCGCCATCGGCAAACTCGGGGCAGGCGGAGGTGCCGACGAGGATGACGGCTCGGACTCGGACGACTCGGACTCGGACGACGACTCGGACTCGGACGAGGAGGAGGCTATCGGTGGCGGCGGCGGGTACAGCCCAGAGGAGGTGGCGAAACACGTCACCAAAGATGATTGCTGGGTCATCCTCGGCGGAAAGGTGCTGGACGTCACCTCCTTCCTGTCGCAGCACCCGGGGGGCGAGCTGGCGATCCTCACGTTCGCCGGCAAGGACGCCACGGCGGAGTTCGACATGATTCACCCGCCCGACGTGGTCGGCAAATACGCGCCAGATGCTGTCATCGGCGAGGTTGGCGGCGGCGGCGGCGGTGGCGCGAAGAAGAAGAAGGATAAGAAGCCCAAGAAGGGCGGCAAGCCAGTCGTCGTGGACAAGGGCGACAAGATCGCCAACCACCAGGCCTGGGGGCACCTCGACGGCCGGGACAACTGGCGCGAGGGCGTCATGGACAGCAACCCGGGCGTGTTCTTGATCAACGTGCGGGCCTATTTCTACGCCGCCTGGTACTTGCTGAGCGCCGTCCTCTACGAGGTCGCCGCGACGATCTTCGTCAACAAGAACTTCAAAATAACTGGCGACCGCGTCGGCCTCACCCGCAGCGCGATCTTGCTGGTCCTATTCATCGTCATCCACGCCGTCGGCAACCTTCACGTATTCAAGGGGCCCGATGACTTCAACGGTTACGGCTACTTCTACGTGCGCCTGTATTGGACCGGCTTCGGGCTCCCCGCCAATATCGTGGAGGAGTACATCTTGCTCTCCGTCCTCCTGCACGTGCTCGCGGGCCTCAAGCGCACATGGGACACGTCCCTCGGCATGTTCAAGAACAATCCGCGAGCACTCGACCTCGCCTGCACTGGCCTGGTCCTGCTCACCTTCATGACTGTTCACTTGTTCCAGTTCCGCTTCGGCGACACCGACCAGTTCGGGCCGTACATGATCCGCCCCCCTCCCTACCTCATCAATTTCTGGGGCGTTTTCGAGCTCGACCTCTTCTGGACGAAGGACGCCTCGATCCAGCCAGTTGGTGTGCGCGACATCTACGCACTCGAGTTCAAGCTCTTCAACGATTCCAAGGCTCTCAGCCTCTTCTACATGTTCGCGGTCGCTGTGTTCATGGTCCACGGTTGCCTCGGCTGGAAGAAGCTCGTCCCAGCGTCGGCCTTCGGCATCCCGAAGAAGCACATCCCCCTGGTGACAAAGTACGGCTACGCAATCTTCATTGCGGTCGGTCTCGTCTACATCTCGTTCCCGCTCTACTGCCTGTGCACGGTCCCGTTCAACGGCTACGAGAAGGACATCAACTCCAGCCGCGTCGAGCGCTGAGCTCCCGGCGCACCGCGCAGTGCCGGGGCGCCGCGCTCGGGGCCCCGTTGCCCGTCTGTGTCGCCACCGCGGGCCCGGCGTGAGCTGGCTTGAGCCTCTGGGGCCCGTCGCAGCACCCTGCGGCCTGTCGGCCGTCGCCCTCCTCCTTGCGTGGGCGTGGAAGCGGGAGAGGATGACTGTGGAGGATGCGGTCGGGATTTTTTGACTCGGCGTGTCGCGCTGCCGGTTCGGGCCCACCGCGCTTCGGCGCGACGCGACGTCCACGTCCCCATCTCCCCAGGCGTCAACGTCCCGAGCTGTTCGCCCAGCCTCCTGCCCCGCGGAGCGCAGCGACGCGCTTCCCGCTCGCAGGGCACAGCGTGTCGGCGGGGCCGGCGCCGCGATACGCCAAGGAAGAGGTCCCCGACCGTGTCATGGCCGGGGCCGCGAAGTCTGCCAGATGTCATGGATCCCCTTCTCGCTCAGTGGCGTGCCCTGGCCAGCCCTCGTCTGCGCACATGCCTCGGGCCATGCGTGAGGCGCTGGGCCCACTCGTCCATGGCTCCCCTCTTCGGCGCACCCGATGCTTCCCTTCTTGCCTGGCTTCGCTCGCCCTGCTTGGTCTCCCCCCGCTGCTCCGTCGCGGCCGCGACTTCCACTGGCGCTGCCGAGAGGCCCGGCTGAAAAAAACTACACCGTGGAGAGAAGCCTTAAGCAGCAGCGCTGCACGTGATCGTTTCCTGATTCACTGTTGTGCCGATCGGCGCGGGCCCTCGACTCGGGCTCTCCCCCCCCCCATCCCCCCCCGATGGAGTGGATTTGGGCTGTTTTTGGCGCCTGTCCCGAGCAGGTGGAGTCTCCCCCGTGGGACGCACCGTTGCAAGCAGTCGCACTGAGCAGAGGTCCGGAGCCAGACCCCCCCCCTCCTCCCCTCCCCCCCCCTTCTCCGCCCAGTGCCGAAACGCCGCATAGGAGTACGTCCACCATGAGGAGACACACTGTGAATCAGCATCACATGCGGCGGCCTTCGTGTGGGTGGCCAGTGCACCGCGAGAGCCCAAGCCACGCCAGGGCGCGGCGCCCGGGCACGCGGCACGGCACACGGCACACCTCTGTCGCCTCCTCCGGGACCTCTCGGCGCGCCACGCGGCACGCGGGCGCGCCATGGCACGGCACGGCCGGCGCAGCCTGGAGCTCGGGGCAGGGCAGCGCGCGGGCACGGCACGGCCCTCTCGTTCTTAGCCTTGTGGGGCCTCTGAGGCACGGCACGGCACGGCACCTCCTGCGCACTCCGCACCTAGCCGCGGCACGCCTTTCGCATCCCAGAGCCCAGGTGCAGCACGGCACGCAGGCACGGCGCGCGGGCACTGTGCGGCACACGCCGGCGGCAGGAGTTTCGCAGCTTGCGTCTTGGAAGCAGGCTCTCTGAGAGCCGTCCAGACGCCTTGCAGCATTCGCTGGCCAGGGAATGTGTCCGGACTGGGAGGCCACGCTCAATTCACGAGCAGGCGTGGCCAGAGGCTCGGCATCACATGGATGGCAGGGAGCACTCGGGCGCCCAGAGCGCGCCTCGGGGATCTCAGGAGGCGGGCGTCGGGCAGCCCGATCGGCGAGCCAGGCGCCCGTCATTGCGCGCCCACCACCATGCCAGGTGCGCCCTGGGCAGCCCAGCTGGGCTGCCGGGGGCGCGCGCTCGCTGGCGCAACAGTGCACCCCGTGCAACACTGCTGGCTCGGACCGGGAGGCCGCGCTGAAGTCACAAGCAGGCGTGGCCAGAGGCCCGAGCTCGGGCTGCAGTCCTGGGGGCGTGCTCCCAGGTCGCCCCAGAAGCGGGCGTCGACTGCCCGGCCGCAGTGGCCCAAAGCTGCGGACGGTCTAGGTATGACCGCGCCACTCGAGCGTCCGAGCCCACACGGTACATATGTATATATATACATGTACATATACATATACATACACATATACATATATGTGTGTGTTGTGTATGGTGCGTTGTGTGTGTGTGTGCTGTGTGTGTTGATTGTGATGTGTGTTGTGTGTTGTGTGTTGCGTGTTGTATGTGTGCGTGTGCGTGTGCGTGTGTGCGTGCGTGTGCGTGTGCGTGTGTATGTGTGTTGTGTGCGTTGTGTGTATTGGGTGTGTTGGGTGTGTTGTGTGTTGTGTTGTGTGTTGTGTGTGCGTGTGCGTGTGCGTGTGCGTGTGCGTGTGCGTGTGCGTGAGCGTGTGCGCCTCGTAGGCCCGCAGGTCTCGGCGCATCGGCTCATCCTTGGACCGTGCCTTGGTTCACTGGGTCGGGGCTCTGCTATGTTGTGTTACTCCATCCCCAGCTGCAGCTCAGTGCTGCTTCCCTCCCGGCTTCAGCTCTGCTCAGCTCAGTGCAGCTCAGTGCCCACGCTGGTTCCCACTTGCGGCGCTCCCCCCCGACGCAGTCGGCAGCTCCCTTCGGGCCTTTCTGCCTTCCACCTCCCCACACGCGCCTCGTAGGTAGGCCCGCAGGTCTCGGCGCCTGGCCCATCCCTGGATTGTGCTTTGTTTCACTGGCTCGGGCGCTAGTTCGTTGTGTTTTCCACCTCCAGCTGCAGCTCAATGCTGCCTCCCCCCAGCTTCAGCTCAGTGCAGCTCAGTGGAGCTCTGTGCTGGCGCTAGTTTTTTTCCCCCTCGGCGCTCCCCCCGCTGCAGCCAGCAGCTCTGAGTGGCCCGGTTTCCTCTCTTCCTGTCGCGCCGGGGCTCCTCCTCTTCCTCCTTCCGTGCATTGCGGCCTCAATTTGCATACAGCGTGTCCCCTGTTGCCGATCCGCCGGAGCAGTCGTCCTCTGCCCAGCCGCCGACTCAAAAAAGCGTATGCGTGTGCGTGTGCGTTTGTGTGTGGTATGTTTGTGTTGTGTGTGTTGTGTGTTGTGTGTGTGTGTTGTGTGTTGTATGCTGTGTGTTGTGTGTTGTGTGTTGTGTGTGTGTGCGTGCGTGTGCGTGTGCCTGTGCGTGTGCGTGTGCGTGTGCGTGGGTGCGTTGTGTGTTGTGTGTTGTGTGTGCTGTGTGGTGTGTGTGGTGTGTGTGTGTGTTGAGTGTTGTGTGTTGTGTGTTGAGTGGTGTGTTGTGTGTGCGTAAGCGTGTGCATGTGCGTGTGTGTGTGTGTGTGTTGTATGTGTTGTGTGTGTGTGTGTGTTGGGTGTGCTGGGTGTGTTGGTTGTGTTATGTGTTGTCTATTGTCTGTTGTCTGTGTGCGTGTGCGTACGCGTGTGCGTGTGTGTGTGTGTGTGTGGGCGTGCGCGCGTGTATGTGTTATGTGTGTTGTGTGTGTTGTCTGCGTATTGTGTCTGTTGTGTGCTGTGGTGTGATGTGTGTTGTGTGTGCGTGTGCGTGTGCGCATGCGGGTGCGTGTGTGTGTGTGTGTGTGTGAGTGTGTTGCGTGTTGTGTGCTTTGTGTGCGTGTGTGTGTTGTGTGTTGTGTGTTGTGTGTTGTGTGTGTTGTGCGTGTGTCCTCCTCCTCCTCCACCTCCTCCCTCCTCCTCCTGCCTCCTTCTCCTCCTCCTCCTCCTCCTCCTCCTCATCCTTCCCCTCCCCCTTCTCCCTCCTCGTCCTCCTACTGAGGGGAAGGAGTACCAGCGGCAGCAGCAGGCGAGAAGGATGATGAGAACGAGGCCAAGGAACAACGAGGGACAGGGCGATGGACGAGGAAGGGAATGATGGAGGGGAGGGGATGATGAGAAGGAGAAAACAGAGGAGGAAGCAAACGCCCCAACACCGTGTTAGAGTCTCCAGTGAATTCATATGTCTGACACGTATTCCTGAGCCGAGGCCATTCCCAGAATTTTTCCTGAAATCGTTGTCGTATTGGTGTGATTGGTTTGTCGGTGTTCCTGCTGGTTTTGCCTGAGGATTGCTGGCACGCAGCTGACACCTCAAGCGGAGGCCTCCAAATGCCTAAACACCACGAAATCGTGCAGACATGCATCCGCTCTGGCGCCCCTCCTCCTGCTCCTCTTCCTCCTCCTCCTCCTCCTCCTCCTCCTCCTCCTCCTCCTGCTCTTCCATGGTATCGGTAGTTCTCCTGCTCCGCATCCCGCCCTCCGCTTCCTCAACTAGTTGCTCGTCTGGCGTGTATTCCGAATTCCTCAGGTTCCTTCCTCTTCCTCACCAGTCACGAGGAGGTGGAGGAAGAGGAAGCAAAGCATGATAAACAGGATTAGGGTAGGAGGTGAGATGGAGAGTTTGATGATGATGTTGATGTGATTATGGTGGTGCTACGGATGATGATGAGGATGAGGATGAGGCTGATGAGGATGATGATGATGATGATGATGATGATGATGATGATGATGATGATGACGGTGGTGATGATGATGATGATGATGATGATGATGATGATGATGATGATGATGATGATGATGATGATGATGATGATGATGATGATGGTCTTTTCTTTTCCAGCTAAATGCCTTTTCGCGGGGGAGGGGAGAGGCCGAATGCTTGCATATCATGGCCTTCGGCTCTCGAGTTGTGTGCCGCGGCGGGCCGCGGTGCATGGCTTGGCTGGGCCTCCCGGAGGGCTTGCTGAGGGTCCTGGGCCGCTGGGGCGTGCCAGCGCTGCAGGCGGGGGTCGCTCGCTGCCCCGCGATCGAGTTCCCGCCCTGCCCGCGTGCCCGGCCTGCCCGCCGTGCCCTGGGGCCACCGTGGGCGCGACCTCGGGCGCGGTGACCCTCGCCTGCCTGGCCACGGGCGCGGCAGGCGCCTCCCTCGGCGCCTTGGTTGCGATCGCTGTCCTGCGGGTGTGGGGCCCGATCCGCTTCACAGCTGAAGCGCGGGCCACGGCCCCGCTGGCTCCGAGCGGGGCTCCTCCGCGGCTTGCGCTGGCGTCGACGGGCGATGGCGGAGGCGTGGGCGCGGGTGCTCTACAACGTGGCCGGCGCGCCGCTCTTCTACCAGAGGAGGTATGTGGGTCAATTGGCACTCACGGATAATGTGATCATAGTGACGCCGATCGACAGCGGAACGCTTGTTGGCAGCCGGGCCCGACATAGCGGCGGTGCGTTTCGCGGCAGCTCGCTGGCCGCCCGTTCGCCCGCCGCCACCTTGGGGTGCCCCCCCCGCCTGGTGGCACGCTCATCCCCATGAGCGGCGGGCTGCTGCTGGGAGGGCCCCCGCTTGCTGCCGCTGGAGGAGCGCTGGTGGGAGCCGCCGCGGGATCGGGCGGTGATGCCGCCGCGCTGGCCGCCGCGGGACTCCCGCCGGCGGCCGCCACCGCCCGCCGCGGTGCCGCCTGGCCCGCTGGTCGCCCTTGCTGCGGGGGCTCCCATCCCAGCGGGAGCTCCGCCCGCCGTCGGTGCGCCGCCTGGGCCGGGCTGGAAGGACGACGGCGGCCCCCCGCTCGGGGCCAACGGTGAGGCGCCCGCAGGCTGGGCCTGGGTGCTCGCCGAGGACGTGGAGGCCTTCCCCTTCGACTCGGTGGTGCAGGTCGGCCCGATATCAGGCATCGTGCTGGCGTCACGGGCTGGCAGGCGCGGGATCATCACGCTCGGAGCGGGGTTATCGGCCATGGCCTTCATCCTGGAGGATTGGGGGCGGGCTGATTTCTCTGCGAAGTGGCGGGGGTCGGATCCGCGGACGTCGGCACGCATCGCGGGCAGCAGTGGACCTCGCAGTTGGCTCACGGTGACCGAGACGTCGAAGGAGATGGCCGACCCCC